GTTCATTAAAGAGGAGAAAAAAATGATAAAAATACTTTATTAAATAATCAATTATATCTTTTTTTTTTTACAAATTAATTAAATTCTGTCACATGAGAGGTCAAATTTGGATTGTTTTGTTGGCATTAAAGCAAATAATTCTGAAGTTATATCAAGCCAAATTATACTTTCAATTGAAATATGAATTTACATATGAGCTTTGAAATATTTCTATACTTATTGATTTACTCGTGAAATATTTTTGTTGTGACTATCAAAAATTACAGGTGAAAAAATATACTCAAAATGATAATACAGGCTAATTAAAGTTACATAGGACAATTACTGAATTGTTATCATAGAACCGTCAAAAAAAAAATATTAGAATTTATAAAAATTCGAAAATAAATTTAGAATGCAATATTCGTAAGCGTTGTTTGTCCAAATATATCATTCGTATGCACTTTTTCACTGTTAGACAGAATAAAATGGAAAAACTGATTATATTTAATTGAATTGAATGAATTTGGTTTATTTATATTTCTGAAATAGTTTTGTGGAAAAAAAAATTGACGAAAGAATTTTGTTGTCGACATTTTTGTTCAATTAAAATGTTGCACATACTAAAATTTGTAATTCACTTATTATTAAATTCTTTTTTTTAGAAAAAAAAAGTTAATCTTGTTGGTTATTCAAATAACTTGGATAAATGGACAGATAACAATGAGATAAATACAATAAACAACATACTGAGAATAATCAAAACTGTTCATCCTAATTAATCAAATGTGTAAATTTATCAGTGAAATAAAAAAACTTCAATAATACATATCAAATCAATGTGTAAATTTATCAGTGAAATAAAAAAAACTTCAATAATACATATCAAATCAATGTGTAAATTTATCAGTGAAATAAAAAAACTTCAATAATACATATCAAATCAATGAATAAAATTGAAGTTTCAATATGTAAAAAAATGTTGTAAAATTGGGAATTTTGTGCAAATTTAGAAAATTATGTTTAGCTGCGAGAATTGCATCACTCATTTGCAGTCATTTCGTAATTTCTCGCATAAAAGGAGGAAACAATTAAGACGAATAGGTATGTTTGTAGGATGAATAGTTGAAGATTGGAGGTGATAGAGTGATAAATACCTGCAAATCCATCTATTAAATATATTTTCTATCGCTACTGCTTCCCCCGTCCTTCCCGCTTCTCCTCGAACAATATTAATCATTCATTCACTTGTTAAAATGCTATAATTATAATGCATTACTATTTGCTATTTCTATTCTCAATAATTTTGAATTATTGCTCGCTAATATAGAAAAATGATTAAAAATTAAAATGAGAAAAAATTGAATGTTTTTGTTTAGTAAAATGATAGGAAGGAATTTGAAAAATTTGTTTCAATATTAATCATTGATAATTTTAAAAACATTCGAAATATTATTTATTATATCTTTTCATAATTTAATGAATAATTTTTCACTTTTTAAAGTTATAAACAATTAAGTCAAAGGACAGATGAAAAATTTTAGCATTAATATCAGAACAATCAAAATTTGATGAAATGAAATGCAAAATACGCGAATAATCAAAATATAACGATATGAAATGAAAAATTTATTAAAGTTTTAGAGAGAGATTAAAATCGTTACGAACTTTGCATGAGTGTTATGGATAGGAATAGTTAATGGAAGAAATTCAAGCATCATTAAAGTAATGCTTCCATTTATTCCTTCTCTCCACTTCCACTTCAGAAGAAAAAATGAAAAGAAAAGAGACGAAAAAAGAAAGAAGGACGAGAAAAGAATTGGATCAAAAAAAAAAGAAATGAGAAAAAAAGAAAAATTGTATCACACTTTTCAATTACACCATAAAATTTCTCCAGAATAAATTTTTTCTTCTGCAAAATTTTCTCCCAGATAGAGTAATTAGCATTGTTAAAACTTCCTATTTAATTGTTGTAGGTTTTTAAAATATCAAACAAAGGGAAAAATTTTTTATAAAAATATCAGTTTTATTAAAAGTAGTTTTTTATTAAAATGTCAAACAAATTTTTAATAATAATTTTTCATTAAAATATCATTGAAATAAATGGAAAAAATTTTTTATTTAAAATATCAGACAAGAAGTTTCCATTTGTTAATTTGATTGGTTTGATTTATTTTTGCAAAGATTTGGAAATTAATACCGCCATAATGCTTCGTTTTATCAACCAGAGCTCGAGAGCTATCAGTTAACGATGTTTAACAACTTTTATTTATAATAAAAAAAATGAAATAAATTTGAAGGATTGCATTTTACAATTGCTATTCACTCGTATACAATATCAAATGCTTTACAGAATAATTAAATTAATCAAACTTAAAAAAAAATAATAACTTTGCATATTTAACATGACAAAGACTGACTTAAAAATTAGAATTTTTTTTTTAATTAGAACTTTTTTCTCGTTTATAATTTTTTGTTAGTATTCGTTTTTTTTTTTCTTAAATTATTATCCATTCGTACATTGTGAAATAACGCAAAATTTTTGCAAAATTAACACAAAGTAGATGCAAAATGAAATTTGAAGATATTATAAATTTAAGATTTTTTTAATTGGTTAGTAAAATTATGACAGATAAATTTTGCAATATTTGAAGTAATAAAAGGGCAAAAAAATTAAAGACTTTGATAAGAATATCACATTTAAAATGCAACAAATATATCAAGTAATGAAACGTGACAACAAAAGCAAACAATCAAATAATTATAAATTTTTAATTTTGAAAAGCATAATAGTTATTTCCGAATAAATAATTATTTATTGCTAAAATTTACTTTATCAAAATTTCAATGTTTAAAGAATGCATCGTTTGTTAGTTTTTTTTGAGCAGTTAATTAGTCAATAATTTTGCAGATGTTTGATATTTTAACTGTCAGTACCATGTATACTGCATGAAAGTTATCTTGAAGGTAGAAATTTTTAAATTTCTGATTGTGATAGGAGTCGAAATTGAAAAACGAGGAGTTAATTTAAAAATTATCCACGCAAAAATTTTATACCTTTTGTAATTTTTTTTTTCTTTTGTTAGCCATATAATTGAACGGAATAATTTTACTTCAGCAATTTATTTAAGCAGTCTTTTTGAATCTGACCTTATCAAGGTTAGTGTATATTAAAAGCAATTTCAACCTGATCAATTTTCTTTTTTTTGCATGCTATTGAGAAATTAAGAAGACTTAAAGCGAAAATTTAAATTCTTAAAAATTGTTCTTTTTAAAGTTTGATTAATCATATTTCTTCAGGCAAGAACTTAATAATAAAATTGTACGAATTTATAAAAATTACCAATCATATCAAATTAAAAACAATTGCGTAATTTTGAAAAAATGTACTTCCTATTTATTTCATCACAATGAATTGGAGCAATAATTCGGGTCAAATCTCGTCTTGCCCCACTTTTCCACCTAAATTGCCATTTTTTTTTTCATTTTTATTTCCTACAATTTTAATGTTTTAATCTGTTTTGGATAAAATTAATTAATTGGTAGGAAATTTCACTCTTTTCAATCATAATAAATGATGCATTTTAATAGCTGTCATATTGCTCGATTATTTTATGTTTTTGTGCATGCTCCATTTTTCAAATCATATCGATTGAGTTTAAAATTTTGAAATTTAGTAAGAATTTCAATTTTTCAAAAAGTTTAAGATTTGAAATTCAGTGAAAGTACATTGAAATCCAGTAAAATACATTGATAAATGCATTTTTTCCTTTATAGTTTTATCCATGGTATAATCAAGTAATGCAAACGAAAAAAACACACATACAATATTTTACGCAAAAAAAATCTCACTCCTTTGAAATATTTTAATTTCACTTCTTCTTTGCTTTATGTCTTTCTCGAATGAATGAGTTTGCTTTTTTTTTATTGTTCGATATTTTTGGAGCGATTTAAAAAAAATTGACAATTAAAACATATGTTCATATTGAAAAAAAAAAAAATTATTCTGGTAAAAATAATTCTTATCTATTGTAGTAAAAATAATTCTTGTTTCTTCGTCGAGAAAAAAAAAAAAAAACTAAAATTTTAAAGTAGTATTTTACACCCAAATCCTTCTTTTAAATTTAGACGATCTTGGTAACTGTTCTTGGTAATTGTTATAGAAATGATAATTAATGGACAAATGTTAAAAGACAAATATAGATATTTTGAAAATTTTCAAGTAAACTATCACGAAGAAAATGTCCAATTTTCCCATGCATCTAAAAAATTTTGAAAATTTTAGCTTTAAAAAAAATCTTTTCCGTTAACAATTTCTTCGTCATTTTTTATGAGCAAAATAAGCTTTGGCTCATTTGCTAAAAGTTAATTCTTCAGCTGTAGCTATAACTGTACGACAACGGTAGCACACATTAGAACTCTTGAAAGAAGTTAATGGCTGTAAAATTTATATCTTTTTTTTTAGATTTTAATTTTTAGTTTTAATTTTAGAATGTCTGATCTAACATATTACATGTATTATTTTTTTTTCCAATTTTCTGAATTTTCATCTTTTCCGCCTTGATATTTGGTGCTTTTTCAGTATTCCGAACAGATTGTGAAGGCTACATTTCTCCCAAAATCCATATGCCATATTTCTGGAAAGTATTAATTTTTGCATTTTAATGATCGAAGTCGCTGACTTACTTGTTTATCGTTAATTATTTTAAAATTTTAACTCTTCTACAGTTAGCTTTGGCATTTCTACGAACTGAGGATTAATTCACTGACGAAAGAAAATGATAAATGTTTCCATTACAAACTTTTATAGTGATGTCAAAATTTTTAGTATTGTATCGTTAATTCTCATCCAAATTTATGTTCAATTACAGAGATATTCTAGTATTTATTTAATCAAATTTATATTCTTTTAGCTTTTTTAGTTAATGCTTTTCCAACCATTTTCATTTAGAATATTTTCAAATATTTCATTTTTCAAATTAACACTTCAATGAATTCATTAAATGATAAATTTTTTCAGAATGAAAATACCATTATATTTGGCAATATTAACACCAACAATAGCATTTCAATGTTTTCAGTGTAACAATGGAATTGATGAGGATGATGCTAAGCCTTGCATTGATCAGGTTTTCCAATTTCAATTAAAATATTAAAAATTTTAGATGACAAAATTTTTCACTTCCTAAGCCTATCCAAGTACACAGTAATAAGTCTGAAGCATTAAAAATTTTTTAAAATGACAATTAAAAAAACAAACATTATGTTTAATTCTTGTCGTAAAAGTATTATGGATAGCAAGGATTCTATGTAATATTTGGTATTATATGTTTCTTCAAATCAAGCTTTAGCTATCTGAATTAATTTTCAATTTTGATTTCTTGCAAATGAATGATTTTTTTTTTTTTTTGATGAATTTGCTCGATAATTTATACTTTTGTCAGAAAACGGAATGTCCAAAAGGTACAAAAAGTTGCTCGACAATTTTATATGTCTCTAAAAAAGATGATAAAATTCATATGCGGAAATTTTGTACACCTTCCGGTATTCCATTACCGCAATATCTTCGATTATTTCGCAACGGTGCTACGTGTCAAAATATTTTTATGGTACTCATTTTAAAATTTCTCTGAATTTCAATCAATTATCTTTCATTTGGTCAGGAATTTTGTTTGATAAATCTATGGATTACAAGAAAATTTCTTGGAGAAAAAAGAAGAAAGAAAAATTGCTATGTTTTTCATAAAAATATTTTCAAATGATATTTAATGACATTGCGAAATAATAAATGTTCCATGACTAAATTTTTAAAAAAAAAATGGTGAAATTGAAATACATTTTTGATAAAGTCAGGGATTACATACATGAATAATGATGGAATAATTTTGAAAATTGAAAATTTTAGAAGCAAGAACACGTGCAATTTACGTCATTGTTTGAAAGACGACGTCGTGAAGCGTTACCACCAGCACCACCAAGACAATACGTACGTATTCAAAGAAATTTTTTATAGGTTTATTTTAATTCGATAAAAATGCTATGATTTCGTTTGAGGCAAAAACATTTCAATATTACAAATGCTAATTTATAAAATTGAATCATATTATCAATGGCTTAATTCTGTGTTGATTAGAAAAAAATGATGGCAGTTTGAATTGTTGCAAAAAAATACCTTCCTCATATTTTGCAAAAGCAAAAACTTCCTAATTTCTCTCATTCATCTTTTTCAATTAAAAGATAAAAATCGAAATTCAAATTTCAACAATTGTTATTTAAAATTAAATTTATGAATTCATTGTTGAAATTTACATAATTAACAAATCTCTCTAATCGTTATTTCTCATTTGAAATTATATTAAATATAAAATTATAAATTTTGGATATACGTAAGGAAGTTAAGAAATTTGAAAGAACTCCAATTTTTTTAATTGGTTTAAATTTCTAGAAGAATAATTTGCTATGCGTATGCATCACATCTTTGTGCAATGGTCGCATTCATGAACAGACCATCATCGATAGAATTATCTCTAATCCACCAAAACATAATGTCGATTTTTCGTTACAAGAATTAGATGATTGATGTGATCACTGAAATCATTC